ATCTTTTTGATATCAGTGCTCGTTTAATTATTGACTTTTTAAAAGAAATTGAATTGTTACTTAATTTGTGATTGATATGTTTTGTATAATATAGTTTTTATAATTGGTAAAATAAATTTGATAACTGAGATTGTTAGTGGCTGTATCCTCGAAGGGGGTTGAATTAGTGTAAAACTATTGTCCCCCTGAGAGGGTATGTCAGACCACGTCTTTCAAAGTATGTTTATTTTGGCCACGTTTTTAATAGTAGTATATATAAAGATCCGGGGTAAATATAGGTCTTCAGCAACCTACCTTGCCGTAAATGGCGACTATGCTTGTAGTAGGAGGCGACTGACGGGATCGGGTGGTCAGGCTCGCTAACTTGGTTGATGAATGTCATCGGTCATTATGATATCAATCACTGGATTGTCTGGTCCAGACTATTTACAGACCGCCGTCACATAGCTGGAATATTGCTGAGTGCGACGTTAAACATCCAACCAACCAACTTGACAGTCGGAAATTCTCAAAATATGAAAATATGCTTTGTTTTCAAAAATCACCTTTCCCAATCCATAGATCTGAAAGGACAGTAAGATCTGTTCCTTATTAGTATGTAATTAGAAATGATCTGTATGTTGTATTCATTGAATTTCCTCTCAGGAAACACCGAGGCAGATGCGGTTTTGAAGGTTACTTTGGAAACACACATGTTCGTGGGTGGTATGGTCGCGATGATCCTTGACAATACTGTGAAAGGTATGCACATACTCAGCAGATACTGGTGTACCTTTCAGAAGGTAAAGATTGCTCAGCGGAAATTCAGAAAGCGACAAAATCCTTTCTATGTTCATAGGAAATATCTGCGGAGTCGATTGTACGATTCTGACTATATATATGAGCAGGTGTTTATGAATCACTATCAAACAGTGATTAGTCCAGGTGTTCCCGAAATGGTGACCGTGTCCTGCCCAAACACATGCAAAGGCAAGTCAAGTGTTAGCTTGAAAACAACCATGGGAACATATGGCACAAGCAATGTCATGAAACTTTTTCAAAGCTTTACTTAGGCCTTGAATGTCGCATGACGCTCTTTGAAATTTTCGTAGCAAGTGCATGCTCGAGTGTACCTCAAATATTGTGAAATCTAGACACCACAGACCATTGCTCGACATAAGGGGAATGTTGACTCTTGCAGAGACTGTATTAGGGATGACTTAATAATTAGGTCCATTATGCAATCTTCTGAATAGTTTTTGTCACTCTGAATCTGTAAGCATATATCTTAATATGAAACAGATGAGGTGATCTATTTTGTCTCTTTAATTGCCAGACAAATCAGTGGAAGGGAAATGGCTATTTGGCCGTTATTGAACGATATCAGATCATCGATTACTGTTAAGTTAAACTTCATGGCCAAATTGCCTCTTTTACTTTGCCATTACGATCAGAACTGAGATGATATTGTCCGAATCATACAATGGACACTTTGCTTTTCAGAGAGATTTCTTATGAATATGGTAGAATAGGTCTTCAGCAACCCATACTTTCCGTAAAAAGGCGACTAACGTGATCGGGTGGTCAGGCTCGCTAACTTGGTTGATACATGTCATCGATCCCAATTGCGTGGATCGATGCTCATGATGTTGATCACTGGATTGTCTGGTCAAGACTCGATTTTTTTACAGACCGCCGTCATATAGCTGGAATATTGCTGAGTGCGGCGTTTAACAACAAACAAACCTATGAATGTGGATATGTGAAGAAAAGATCAGTAAAGAGGGCAGCAAAATTGGTGCCCATGGGATGCCTACTTCTTATCTAAATGTTTAAACGTTGTCTGGGCGTATAAGCAAAAACATTATGAAAAATGTAACACATCTATAGTTATTGGGAAATAATCCCCTTCACATTACATCTCCATGTTGACATGCCAACTGATGATAATCTTGGCGAATTATGTTGCAGTTATGCATGGTTTGCGTGATCTTCATCTTTGCAGTTCTCCGTATATCAATAAGTGACACTCGTGTATGTTATTTCAGGCACACTTGAAGACAGAGGCATCGCAATGAGGCGAAAACATGATCATGACATCGAATCAAGTCCTCAAGAAGAGAAAGAAGGCTCTAACATGATTCCTTCCTCGGTTGCATATGGCTGGAAGTGTGTACCAAGTCTGTACAACAAGTTAAACATCCTCTCATACCTACCCTTCATTCCTCCGAGACAGAGGTGAACCGAATAAATCGACATGTTCTCTCGACAAAGACATCCTGTAGCCATACATTCGTGGCTTGAATTTTCAATGTATTGCTTACATAACTTGACATTAAATATCGGCCAAAATATTGACATGCCACACATCGTACTTTACATCTGACATGAAACAGTAACTATACATACAAGTACTTAAAAACGCAGTTTGTGGGTGTCTACACGACGTTTTTACCCCTGCACTGTAGTATGCAAATATGTCAAGTTCACTAAAAGTTTCCAAATTTAAACTCCCGTTGCTATTATGTTTTTTTCGAAAATTATTGGCGATGTATTGTCAGTTCTTATGGGCGGCTTCATAATTTGTAACGTCTGTTTAACGTCGCACTCAGCGATATTCCAGCTATATGACGGCGGTCTGTAAATAATCGAGTCTGGACCAGACAATCCAGTGATTGACATCATAGGCATCGATCCACGTAATTGGTTGGTTGGTTGTTTTACGCCGCACTCAGCAATATTCCAGCTATATGACGGCGGTCTGTAAATAATCGAGTCTGGACCAGACAATCCAGTGATAGATATCATAATCGTCGATTTACGCAATTGGGATCGATGACCTGGATCAACCAAGTCAGCGAGCCCGACCACCCAATCCCGTTAGTCGCCTTTTACGACAAGCATAGTCGCCTTTTACGGCAAGCATGGGTTGCTGAAGACCTATTCTACCCCGGATCTTCACGGGTCTGGGATCGATGACATGCATCAACCAAGTCAGCGAGCCTGACCACCCGATCCCGTTAGTCGCCTTTTACGACAAGCATAGTCACCTTTTACGGCAAACATGGGTTCCTGAAGACCTATATTCTACCCCGGAATCTTCACGGGTCTTTTTTGTGAAGAAAAAGGGGGATACATGTGTGACCTGTGAAGATCCGGGAAATAATAGGTCTTCAGCAACTCCTCCTTGTCGGTTAATACATGTCATCGATCCCAATTGCGTGGATCGATGCTCATGATTACAATCACTGGATTGTCTTGTCCACGCTCGATTATTTACAGACCGCCGTCATATAGCTTCAATATTGCTGAGTGCGGCGTTAAACAACAAACCAACCATCATAACTGCGTGGATCGATGTTCACGATGTCAATCACTGGATTGTCTGGTCCAGACTCGATTATTTACAGACCGCCGTCATCTAGCTGGAATATTGGTGAGTGCGGCGTTTAACAACAAACAAACAAACAAACAAAAGTTTCGAGGTATACCAGACAGATGTAGTTATATTAACAGGTGGGTAGAGAGTCAGCTTGGTTTATCGCTGCTTCGAACAGTACTTCACACACAGAATGGCAGGTTGATGGTTGACGATAGCCCAAAGTGATCAGACGTTTACCGCTTTGGTGACACCAAAGACCACGAGTATGATGCTGAGACACCTACCGTGTGTCGTATCCATAATAATGCGAATTGCGGCAGCCTAGACGGTTGGGCCGTCCATGCCACCTCCCGTGTGAGGCAGAGTTGCAACGGCTGATATATGTGTGACTTAGTGAGCTTCCCAATTGCGCGGATGTCACGATGTGGATGAAATATTTCCGATGTGACGTTAAACGTTTATGATTTGCATTCCTCTCTATCAACGCTGTTCATATAGTTGGGGTTAAAAGTTAAGGGTGATATTTTGACAGTGTCTATTTCATACCATTATTAATTGTGTCATCATAAGGGCCAAGAACACCACATGATGCATTCTGTATTCCCAACCTCTTATGGAATATGAATAGAGGTCAGCCGATATCAAACGTACCGCATTTCCTCTATGAGACGCACGGCCGTCTATTAATTACGGGAGAGCCGTTGACCCGTCGTGTATGAGAGACCTGGCTGTATTAGAGACCCAGCGCTCTATTACAGGAAATATCGGATACGTTATACAGTTCATTAGCGTTTATCGATGTAACCATTAACATGTTTATAAATATGTGTATGATATAGAAACGGGCTCCGTCCGTCCGTCCGTCCGTACGTCTGTCCGTCACGTTTCGTTTCCGGAGCATAACTCATAAACCGTTCAATATTTTTTCATCAAACTTTGCAGGTCTGTCAGGTACATGCTGAACTGGTGCCTTTTGCTATTTAGAAATTTTAGAAATTTTTATTTTTTACGTTTCCATGGCAACAAGATGGACTTAGGTTCTGTGATGGTAGGGTTCGTTTCCGGAGCATAACTCATAAACCATTCAATATTTTTCATTTTTCAGGGGTTTGCTGTATACATATGAAGAAATTGTTAGTTATAATGTTTTATTTATGTATTTTAGGTGTATTTTAGGCCAGTAATGGCCAGGTTTATTATGTACACATGACACATTAATAAACTATATTATTATTATTATTATTATTATTATTATAAATAATCCTGCCGAAACGCAGTAAGCAAACACCTCGTTACAGCGAGCCCCCAGGACGCTTTCACCTAGGGGAATTCCTACACCCGATCGCGATACTCGGTAGCCAGTGACAACCATGACACGTAAAAGATAGCAGTCCGACCCGATCCATAGCTCCTAGTCAGTAGCCGGCCACGGGGACGCTATGTGACAGAAGATCCTTCACCTGCCGATACCCGGTTGACATGGGGCTGAAAAGCAACCCATACATGTCGTAAGACGCGACAAACGGGTTCGGGTGGGCTCGCTGACTTGGTTGATGAATGTCATCGGCTCTTCACAGGGATTAATTAACAAGTAGTAAACGTAATCTAAGTGTGATGAATTATAACACGGACTCCAGTGGGCTTTTAATCAGATTAGTTCAGAGTGCTTTATTTGTCACATACACAGATTTCTCGTTCAAGGTTTTTCCATCTTTGCAGTTCACGTTGATTCAAAACTCAATGTGAAACGGATAATATTGGCTTTTCGAAGTTCTGTAAAAAGAAAAGAAGTGTAAAAATAGTTATGTTCATTTCAATTATGAATGTCGGCAAATTGGAAACACAGATTGTGTTTGTTACATAGTATACTCACACGTCAAATGCGCAAGCTCGGAAATTCCTGTCCAGTGCAGATACCACGTTCATCTCCTCCTCTGTCAGTTGAAAATCGAAAACCTGTTAAATATAGAAGTAAATATGACATAATCCCTGTTCACATGATCTGTCTAGAATAGTTCAGAGACACTCGTTTTCGGATTGTACTGTGTTGATGGAATGGATACATTCTTAGAGAAAATGCACGTCGCATTATGATGGCCAGCTGAATCAGCCAACATCATATTAAACATCAAGGCAAAGGTCTTTCTTTAGTATGTGCGATACTTTAGTTCTGACTGCTATGACTGCTCACACCTTTCTCAATCGCCTCAGTGTCACACAAATAACGCGATATTACTAACCTGGAAATTTTCTTTGATTCTGGATGGCGTCACGCTCTTGGGGATGACAATGGTATCCCTCTGTAGCCCCCAACGGAGGACAACCTAGGTATATAAGATTGAAGTTTGCAGTGGCATACATTTTTGTATATGCCGCACTCAGCAATATGCCACTTATGCAACGGCAGTCTGTAAATAATCGAATCTGAACCAGAAACTCCAGTGATTGACATCTTGAGCAGCGATCTACCCAATTAGGGTACGATGACATGCATCAGCGAGTCTGACCACCCGATCCAGTTAGTCTCCTCTTACGGCAAGCATGCGTTGCTGAAGACCAGTTCTAATTCGGTTTTTCACGGCGATATTAAGATATGTACGAGGTAACAAAGATAAAGAGTGTCGATCTATGCAAGTAAGTATGTTTTTACGCTGCTTTTAGCAACGTTCCAGCAATACCACGGCAGTACTAATTTTTCAGTATACCTGAGCTACAGTCTTCCCGTATTTCTTGCCTAATTCTTGAAGAGATGGCTCATCAAATAATCGTCGGAAAGCAGCATCCGATCTGAAACAAAGTGTAATCTTATCACAAAATACATTTTGATTAAATAGAAAGCCTACCTAACTCGTAAAAACAAATGAGACAGATTTGAACAGAAAACATTATTAACACAAAACTGTCCATGTGTAGTTTGATATGCGTTCCTAATACCGACACAGTAGTGATCGCAAAACCGTGTTTAACAGTCCTATGTAATTGGGTTGCTTCCCTCTCCCCGACTGGCCTACTTTGGGGTTTTCTTCATTATCATCGTGATTTAAAGACAATCACTTTAAACTTGAAATAAAAAAACAGCGACGCCACATTATCTGTTTCATATTTGGATCTAAGCGTGAGAATAATAAAACGTCCTCCGCAAGACTATGACAAGACGTACTTCCACTTTACTCATAGAAAGTATAACATTCCCTTTTATATACTAACGGGATCGGGTGGTCAGGCTCGCTGACTTTGTTGATGCATGTCATCGATCCGAATTGCGTGGATCGATGCTCATGAGGTCAATCACTGGATTGTCTGGTCAAGATTCAATTATTTTACAGACCGCCGTCATATAGCTGGAATATTGCTGAGTGCGGCGTTAAACAACAAACCAAACCAAACCAAATCGAGCAGAATCTTGTATACAAATTTGCCACTGTGTACCAAGCGTACAGGGTTTGGACTGTGTAGTGTACGATTCTCCTAAACCCTTTTCATGATCATACAGCTGTACCTTAGAAAACACGGACTTTCGGCGTATGATGCCAGTCACTTTCGAATGTGTTAGACCCCAAATGAACGTCACAAAATGTCTTGCTATGTCCAATAGTAAGTTTTACAATGGGAATAAAAAACAACAACGTGCAAATAGAATAAGGTCGTGGCAGTATTTGAATGTTTAAAGGTCCAATTAAGGGATTTTGTTCCTTGACAACCTATGTGATCTATCTTTGGTTGTTTTGTTGTTAGAATGTTCAAGAATGTTGCTGACAAGGAATATGATGTCAGTTACATGAAGTGAGTGACTTACCTAAACGCCGGGTGGTCAGAACTTCCGAGTGGCGAGTAGGCTGTGATAGCTATCCCTTTCTCTCTACAGAATGATATCAGTTTGTTGTTCAGGATGTAGGGATTGACTTCGACCTGTCAATAATAACCACGTGCATGTATGTGAAAATCAGTGTTACAACGCATCAAAGCATACACGTGTAATAATATATACCTCTATTCTGAGATATACAATGTCATTTTGTCTTGATGTATGATGTCATTTTTACCTGGTTGGTCACTGGCGCATATTTCAACCCTTCTGTTTGTAGAAGCCGTTGTAGTTGTTCTGAGTTGAAGTTGGATACGCCAATAGACTTGGTGAACCCTTTCTCTACAAGCAATTCCATTTCCTGGAGGAACACACATTTCATTATATAATACAATGTAACATTTCATGAGCTAGAGAATAATTGTGTTTTAATGTCGCTTGAAATGTTTGTTTGTTTAACGCCGCACTTTATAATCGAGTCTGGACCAGACAATCCAGAGATTGAAATCATGAACATCAATCCACGCTATTGGGATACGATGGCATGTCATTAACCACGTGAGCGAGCCGGACCACCCGGTGCCTTTAGTAGCCTCTTACGACAAGCATATTCGCCCTTTACGGTAAGCATGGGTTGCTGAAGACCTATTCCTACCCGGAAGTTCACGGGTCGCATGAAATGTAATTCAGTATACAAGTATCAGGACATACATGTACAAACTGTCTTGTATTAAGGCCTTGACTCCACTGTCACTTACTATACATTACCAGGTATGCTTACATGTCTATCAGACGCCTGTTGCTGTTACTCACCTTCCATGTATCGAGGTAGTCAGCATCTGACAAGATGAGGATGCCGTCAGCATCCTTGGGCATGCTTTCACCAGTGTCCTCCTACATAACATTAAACAATACACACACACACAAAATGTAATATAAATATTGAAAGTTTATACATCGTGCATGAGAGCACTACATATACAATAGTTTTTGGACATAGAAATGGCACATCTTCTTCCCATATATAAAGGTTCGAGGAAACAGATGATATGAAGAGACATGATAGTAACCGTTCTTGTTACCTTGAAGGCAACTGGCCAGTGCATTAGGTACAGATCAACGTAGGACAGTCCCAATCGCTCCAAAGAGTCCTTCATTGCACCTTCGACAAGGTCCGGACGATGGAATGTATTCCATAACTGGGGACAGATGAGGTACCCCCTGAGTTAGATACGTACATTTCATGTCTGCTGGAATGTGCTTGGGTTTACTTGTACATTTTTGTGTAAACAATGAGATAAATTTTGAAAAGTATTCAGTAATATAATGTCAACCACTGAAGTGGGAAACGAGCACAAATATAGGGTCGACGAACTGGGATGTTTCTGTTGCTTGTTTCGAAACATGGACAAGTATTCCACACTGACAACGTCCACCCCTTGACACACTATTCTACAGCTTGCTCGACGTGGTACGAACACGGTTTTAGTTAAGATTTTGACATTTGTGACAAATTGACTTTATGTGGGCAGGATAACTTAGAATATGTGGCCGGTTTGTCCTCCATACCAACACAACGGCAACAGCACGGGACATCTACTTTCATCTAAAAATATTTGTAAATATATTGTGACATTTTACCTTTTTTTGGGTAATATTGAGTTCTGACTATGGTATATTTACGAATGTTTTGGTTGAAAAGTAATGAATATCTGTTGTTGTTGACCTTAAGGCCTTGATATTAACCTCAACGATCGATATACATGTAACAGTGATATTTAGTTATTGTACCTTTGCCAGGAGATTCAATGAAGTAAATAACTCACTTTTGTGGTTATGAAGAGGTCTTCACGCTTGACTGTCCCGTCGTCTATCTTGGCCTTGATAGCTTGGCCCACTTCCGCTTCATTGCCGTAGGCCCACGCGCAGTCAATATGGCGGTACCCGCAGGCAATGGCTGCTTTAACAGCCTCCGCTACTTCGCCTTTCGGAGACTACATTGATAGAGAAATAGGTGTATACAATTCGATATTTAAAGTTTTAATACGATCAAGGAACGGTGCCTATATAATAATAGCAGTGGCTTGATGTCAAGTTTATTCTGACTTACGTTGGTAAAGATTATTATATAAAAATATACTCTTATGCTCTGTTTGCTTGCATAAAAAGCGACTATGCTCGTCGTAAGAAGCGACCAACAGGATCGGTCGGTCAGGCTCACTGACGCATGTCATCGAATCCTTATTCGTGGATCGACGCTCATGATATCAGTCACTATTTACAGAATTTATTTTCTGTTTACGTGTACTATAGGTGTACTGTTTCTGGATTTTATCGAAAAAAATACTTTTATGATAAGAAGCTTGAACAAAATAATTGTGCTTCTGAGTTTTGAAAAAGAGATGGGGCGGTTTGGTAGCCTAGTGTTTAAAGCGTTCGCTCGTCACGCTGAAGACCCTGGTTCGATCCCCGACATTGGTACAACGTGTGAAACCCATTTCTGGTATCCCCAGCTGTGATATTGCTGGAATATTGCTCTAAGCGGCGTTAAAACAAACTCACTCACACTGAAAAAGAGATAATTTACCAGCCCCAACTTAACCGCCCAGCAAAAGAAAGTATACAACGTCATCAAAAAGTAATACACCGAAAAATGGCTGCTAATTGTCTTTGAAACACTCCAAACTTAACGTACAAAATATCTTATGATTTCCGCCGAAAAAAATCAATTCGTTCACTAGGTTCACGTCGAATAACGATTTCGCGAACACCTCGAGACATCACTACTTGATAGTGATTCATAAACACATGCTCATGATCGATATTGTCGGAATCGTACAATCGACTATGTCTTTGGCAGAGATTTCTTATGAATAATTAAATGTGTTTTTTCGCTGTTATTGTTTGTTTCATTTTTAGTCAGCATCAAACATGGGTGTACACTGTCTTTTGCCCGGCAGTTCACTGTGAATGAAAAATACTGTCCTGAAGAGATACCAAAAACTTGAGAACAGGATAATTTATCACGAGTCTCTAGCTGACGAGGTCAATGTATATTTAGTAGCGTGTATAACCCAGTGTCAGTGTACGGTGACCTAGTGGTCTCATCGTGATAAGAAGGTGACACACACGTGGCTGATATATTGTAGATGCGACCGTAATTTATATCTCACCTATTCACTGCAAAGGTTGAATATATTGTATTTTCAAATACCCTTTGTATTGATGAAAACCAGAAAGTATTAATAATAATTCAAACAGATTCACTTTAAATCTTTAGTGACCGACATCGTGGTCTAGTGGTAGAGCGTCGCCCTGAGAGCGGAAGGTCGGGGTTTCGATCCCCGACCGCGTCATACCAAAAAGCTTTAAAAGATGGTACTTGTTGGTACCCCGGTGACGCGCAGTATCATGCGGTATCCATGTTAAACTGCGGCATGGTATGTCAGGAGGCTAACACTATAATACCAACATTAGTTCGGACTTGTACAAGCAGACACACACACACACACACACACACACACACACACACATGCATGCAAAATAAGTGAAAATAATTTTGATAGCGACGTTAAGCACCATTTTACCTTTCCACCTCAATCTTAAGTGTAACAGATTGCCCCAGGTGGAGGTTGTATTAAACATTGTTCTGGGCTCCCTTAGAATTTCACATTTCATTTTGTAGATACTTTGCATGATTTAATTAAGATATCATTATTTCTGGGATTAAAAATTAATCTTATTATAGCTCACGCTCTGGATTCATACTGGATTCAAACCCATCATATAACTTATTCAGCTAGTTCTTATCAGTTTGAATGAGTCACATGGGATTCAACGACTGAATAGAACAAACATACGGAAACAAAGAAAGCTTACGCATCCTATATATTTACGGAATAATTAAAATGAACTGTGTATTATTTTTTCATACTTATGAATAAACGTCTGGGGCAGGAAACGCGAGCACTGGTATAATAATTATCTGATCGTGAATCGTCATAACCACATGCTTATGGTATTACCCAACTCGTAAAACGGACTGTTTTTATCAGGTATTTCATTCCATAATTATAATGGAAATAGCATTGTCAGTTATAATCAATGCAGAGTGAGAGAGTGTGGTTTTATTGCGCTTTCAGCAACATTCCAGCAATAATACGGCGGGAGACACCATAAAATGAACTTGACACATTTCACCTATGAGGGCAATAGAACCCGGATCTTCCGTGTGACGAGCGAACGCTGTACCCACTACCCTATCCAGTTGCCCTGTTTTAATGCAGAATATTGGTGGATTATTTTACATATCATAGAATGATGATTGTAAATTGACAGGATCAACTGATAGTCTATTTCATTTGACAGTAAGGTAGTCCCATGTAAAAGTCGATAAAGTCGATAAGACCAGTGAAGATCCGGGTTAGAAAAGGTCTTCAGCAACCCATGCTTGCCGTAAAAGGTGATTATGCTTGTCGTAAGAGGCGACTAACGGGATCGGGTGGTCAGGCTCTCTGACTTGGTTGATGCATGTCATCGTACACCATTGCGTGGATTGATACTCATAATATCAATCACTGGATTGTCTGGTCCAGGCTCGATTATTTACAGACCGCAGTCGCATTGCTGGAATATTGCTGATTGCGACGTTAAACAACCAAAAACAAACAAAACAAGGTCGATAAACGTTGCCCTTTTCCATAATATTATACGTACGGTCTCGCAATAAAATCTATGTAATCTGCTTCATGCATGTTCACTCTAAACTCGATCCATATATGTTATGCATATTAAGTACTTGCATTGTTCACAGATGTTACTAATGTTTCTAAAAACCTTTATATTCTTGTAAATATAATGTAGTATTATGATACAATCAATTTTACATTCACATATGAAAATCATAATGCAAGTTTGTATTTAAGCCACATATCACATCATGACGTTGCAATATTTTACTCTCTTCCATTTATGTACTTCTATCTCTGTTCCCAAACCCATATGTTATATTCTTACCTGCCAAGTACCCAGACCAAACACTGGCATAGACTTTCCATTACTAAACTTCAAGACGGGAACTGCTGCCATGTTGAACACCCAGAAGACCGGTACACGACTGACGTCTCACGTATTTGAGAGAGAATAACTGGATAGATAACCCGACTTCATTCACCCCGAGTTGTTGACCCAAATACACGAACAACTTTGTCACATGCCTGTCATCAGGCGTATGTTTCACAACATTTCAATAGGGCAGCATATTGTTTCATGTGTGTACACACCGATAATGCAAAATTATGATCATTAGCAGATACATATATATATATATATATATATATATATATATATATGCCTGCTTCTGTCTAAAAACGTAAGTTATTACCATTGTGTGGTCTGTTCATACAGGGGTGAACTGGAAAATTTAAAATGTTTTCTTAAGTGAGTCAGTGAGAGATTTGGGTTTAACGTACGCTGCTTTCAACAGTATTCCAGTTATATAACGGCGTGTCACCTTAATGTGGGAGGAAAACCAAAGTTATGCAAGTCTCAACACGTGAATATCCAAAGTGACAATTTTTTATAATCTTTAAAAAAAAATTTTTTTAACATCTCTGCAACATCAGGTGTACGTAGTCTTACTGTAAATAGTTTCCTGTAAACCCCAATTTCAATGTTATCTAAAGCAGGTCAATACATGGAAACTTTTCATGCTCGGTAAAAAGCAAATCCCTGAGTGGAAGGGGAAACAGTACATTTTACAGCCATGAAACGAAACCACTGCTCCGAGTGGTAAGAATGCACCCAAAATGCGAACAGAAGGGGTAGGGGGATCCTACAGTCGGTGATACCTTACGGTTGAGGAAGACACTCAACCTCAACATTGGTTGTCCGACCCATCGACAATCAATAAAACTCAAAGGCCAATAAATAATCAAGTCTGAGTAAAGCCTCTAGCCAGCGGGCACCAATACTAGTCCATGAGCCAGACCTCAAAATTTCAGGTTTGAGTATCAAAAAGCTGCACAGATCCGATGTGGATTTTCAGTTAGCATGATGTCTTAAGTGTCCAAAAAGCCCACCCGGACATTCAGGATCGGTAGCTTAATACACTTTTGGCGGCCATCTTTAAAATGGCCGCCACGCCCATTCAGAAATATACTAACCACCGGAAAAACTGAAATAACCCGCCACCATGATGACCTATGAACATGCAATATGGCTTATTTTGTTCGTAACAAACTTCTGCACCAGACAGTATATAATAACTTGACTTTTGATTTTATAATCTGTTCCAAAATTCGGAGTTTTTCAAACATATGGGTATGCGTTGATGCTTTTTTCACAAAGTTCTTTCAAATGTCAAGCCTGCTATACACACCAGCAAATGTATGTCCTAGATCACCTTGGGCAGCTCTCCAGGTGTGGATAAAATGTTTGGGGCAGTTATTTGACCTGTATGTATAAGTGCAGACAATAAAATTGCACCGATAATCCACCATCAAGAAAGTGCCGTTGTAGATCTGGGCAGGTTCTATCCAGTTCACTCATCTGCGCATAGTAAACCAGGAGATATCGTGCATAGTTCGTTTTGTCCATTGCGAAACACCAGGGTATCAAATCCCTGATGCTACTCAGATGCAAATGCCAGTCTCCGGTTCGGTCTGCACGAATCAAACCAAGTAGTATTTCTACCAGATCAATGTACAGCATCCAGTAAGCAGCCAACTGACCGTTCTCATGACGTAGACCATCCAAGAAAACTGCAAACAAGTCGAGGATCCTCTGACAGGATTCGTTATTCAAGGTAGATTCGAATGTTGCTCCACGCGTATCATCTTGCAGATCAGCGACTAGACGGATCACTTCATCCAGATGGTGAAGGTCTCCCTCATGATTTGTCTCCAACCATTCTGTGAACGATGCCCAGGCTACTCCTGATTCAACAGCAAGATCTCGAAGTCCTGCATCACGGAACATCTTTCCAATGATGGAC